GGTTTTTTCATGAACCTAACCGTTTCAAAGATAATAATGGTTAAAGTTTTGAAATTTCTGCATGAGAAAGAGTTTTGATAAAGGCCTAAGCAAGCATGCCAGCTGTTTTGTTCGAAAACCATTAAAAATTTCACAACTTAAACCATTATTATCTTTGAAACTGTTAGGTTTATGAAAAAAATCACAAGAATAAAATCGTTACTTTTTCTACCAGAATACATCATAAAATACAGGGTGTTCCATAAGAAAAATCAAAGTTGGCGGCCATATTGGAAAAATGGCGGCTAAAATAATTTTTTTGACTTGACTATAATTTTTATAATAAAAAATCCAAGGGACTTACCATTTAACTTTTTTTGATATCTCTTATAGTTTTCGAATAAAACGGCTGGCACACTTATATCAATCACCCTGTATATATCACTTCGCAAGAACACCTCTGACGTTACTTATATTACTAATTACGATAAATTTACTTCACCCTTCAGGATGTTTTTATTTCCTAACGAAATTTTTAAGTTTATCTAAGTTACATGTAAAACTAGAAAACAATTTTTGCATCTCTGTGGTAATTCTTGTTAATATAAGTTATAACCAGTTTATTAAGTACATGTTGTGTCAGATCTCAATTGACTATCAGTTGTATAAAGAGTACTTGGATCATTGAAATGTTATCTCGAGTAATATTCGGTAAATTACCACTAGGATTAAGATAAGTGCTGTAGGCCTAAAACCATAATCCTTGCAAGGTACGCGTTAAGATCATTGTACAGTATTAGTTTTCACAATTTAAAATTTTATTTACAAACAAAAAGTTTGCCTAAAAGCAACAAGGATAAACTACTTGATCTCTTTAGTAAATTAAATTGACATCAAACTTAGATCATACTAGAAATCGCAGTATTTAACTTTCTTCCCGCCGTATACATAGTAGGACAGTATTGTGTTCTTCAAAATTTCCAAGTTTGGGTTTTGGGTGGAACTATCAGTTTTGGACCCCTCTGAACACAAAAAAGTAATTTTCGAAGTGATGTCTCAATCCACGTTGCAATCCGTGTGGCTGTGATCGATTTTTGATAAAATTGGGTATGTACCCATCCATTGTACCCTATCTCCAAGTTTTAATTTTTTTTTACTATACCTAAATTTTAATTTTTAATGTCAATTTCCTCATGAAACCCATCGAGATACGGAAAAATAGGATTTTCAAAAATATAGTTTCCAATGGACGAAACGACGTAAAACTTAAAGCTGTACTAATCTATTTAAAATAGGTCCAAAATCCTACAAAAAAACAAACACCAACAGCTGTGGCTTTCGATTTGTGCAAAGTCTCCAGTCCAGTCAATCAAAGACCACTAAATGACGTAATAAGTGTATTTGTTGTCTGTGGGTGTTGGTGTCACCTTCCAACCACAAACCGGTCTATCTACCACTACCCCCTGCTCGAGGCTATCCACGGAACCGCACCGGACCGCATGGAACCGGGCATATCCGGATATAGCTGGGAATATCCGGACTGACGGTTCAGATTTCAAGGTGAAAAAGTCGTCTTTGATAGTTTGCCAAGATTCGCATTTGCAAATCTCAGCGTTATAAATGCAGAGGTTGGATTATTCAAGCTGAGAATTGCGCGTCTATTAATGTGGTTAGGATAGGACATATCACCACAGTATGTATGAAAGAATTGAAAATTGTAAAAGTGAAAACCAAATAAATCCAATAAAATGTTATATATTTCTAATAAATAAACTATTGGTAAAGACTGCTAGTAACTCGACTCCAATGAGCGTTTGTGCTCAAATTTATTTTGGTCACTTATTTGCAATGTACCCCCTATAACAATTATGCACCTTAATATATTTTTCTTAAAATTTTATCTACGTTGAAAGTTAAATTTGAAGGGCTTAAAAATATCAATCTCGTAGCATATACGTGCCAATTTCAATAGTTCAAATTATTGTAGGGTTTAAAATATTATAGAATATTATTATAAATTATTATAATTAATTATAATAAAATATTATAGATGCCTTCTTGAGCATTATGCGAGTTTGTGATATAAATACGTACAAAATCAGATTATTTCGCCAAACACTTGACGTATTACTTTTTTGGTCTCCAGTTTTTTCCTGGATATGGTCGGCGTGGCCAGTCAAAATGGATTGAAAATGTCATACTTTTTAAACGTATTTACCATCATTATACTCATCGTAAATGTATATCACATCACGTATTCTCATCATACTTACCCAATTCTCATTACAGCATACGTATAATACGTCTATTATTGTTGAAGAACGTCTCTTATTTCATCACAAAACAATGCAATATTCATGATATTGTCTATGGTTTAAAAATTAATAATAATGAATATATGGTAATGAATATTTTCGTACTCTGATCAAATAATCGTCTGTTTGAGCCAGGGGTAGAACCAGAAAATCCACTGTGAACTGGTTCGAGTCAGTTGTACCTGGGTAAAACGTGTTTACTTATCTTACACATACTCCAGTGGTGAAGGTCGTGTTATCTAGGTTATCACCTGACACCTGCGAGCTTCCCATCATTAGCCTACGTTGGTACTCCTGCTGCTGACACAGCTGATAACAGTTGGTAACACTGACAACGTCGAGAATATTTGAACGTAAACAGCTGTTGGGATACAAACCTTTGGTCGTATTCGTATATGCATCAACCAAGTAATAAAACGTTTGGAATACTGTACAAACACGTGTCATAAAAAAGATTACACAAACGTAAAGTAGATTGTTGATAAAAATAGAAGAGGTAAAAAAGGTTTATTTATGTAATGTGATTGTAGGTTTTATGATTGGAAGAATTCAAACTACATTCTTTCATATCATTTTTTTTTCAAGAGAAGTATTTTGTTTCCAAGTCTTGTCTCCCGTCAGGGTTAAACATAGTTCAATAAATCATGTTTGAATGTTTCAACAATATAATTTCAAAACAGAATTTTGTTCTTTGTGGTTTTTTGTTTGTTTACAAGTCGTAAGAAAACATAAACTAAATTCTGCTACAACAGTCAACGGCATAGAACGTAAAACAAAACAAATTGTCGACATTAGTTATTAATAGGTTGTGCAAACTTGCACACAAAGAAACCTCCTTTATTTAAATGTAGGCATAAAATACTGTAATAAGTTTAAAATCGAACTGGAGTACTGTATAGTTTTTACTAACTCGTGATTTTGTTCAAAAGTTATCTCCCTTTTTGATCATACGTAATTGAACCCTATAAAACAAACAAATGAGTCAAATGATGGTACACGTTTATTGAAGTGAAGGACAAACAGCTCACAGCTGATCAGGGACCGGGAATGGCGGGAATATCGATCAGCTGATAAGCTGTCCTATATCCAGTCTGGCGCCAAACCCCCCGACAGAGTCTGGCCAGGGATGGGGCGACGGGATGGCTTTTGCTGTTGACCTTTTGTCGCACGTTTTTCTTTTATAGATAGAAATACGTACAATTCCTATACCCAAAAATGTTCAAAGGTTCAACTGCACTTTCGACTTAGGTTTATTATTGTTGTAAAATGACTAGGTTTTATACTATTTTTTGTCAGGAATATCTAATTCTTTCAATTTGTATAGCCTTCTAGAGATTTAAACCCCTTTTTGATATTGGCCATGAAATATTTTTCATACAGTAAAAGTTAAAAGAAAAATAAATTAATAAAATTGGACATTTTAAAAAAAGCTGTGTTATTTTACAAACTCTTCCAAATGGTTGATGTTCCAGAAGTCTAGCTAGAACCATTAGGGTTGAATGATGGAAGGGTTAATACACGTTTTCTGGAGATTGATTATGTTTGAGTTTGTATGATGGACTAGCGTTTAGTAATCTTAAACCCCTAAGTAGTAAAACTATTTATCTACACTTATAAACCAATAACCACTAAACATTTTTTACTAGGTTCCAACTAAAGGAACATACAAACTTGTTTTAGTCAGTAAAACAGCCATAGAATCTTACTCTTTCTAACAGTGGCTGGTATACGTTTAAAATTTAAATACCTCTAAATTCTAAATAATTTCTAAATAGGCTATAAATTTTATATTATAATGTTTTCACCATCTTATTGGGAACTCATAACTTGCCAGTAGATATACATTTCTACCCTACCATCAAATGAGCAAATATTAGTACTATGAACAGCAATTATGTATCCATTTTAGCAAGTGTCAATTTCTGTCCAGTGTATGGATGAATAAACTTGTCATAGAAAACGCTTTATTGGATAGATGTGATGAAATGGGATTTTTACAGTCCATAATTCTCTAACCCTGACACTGTCACTGTGGAATTTGTATTATAATGTGAAATGAAGTTGACATTTTTGTGTTAACCAATAATAATGTCCTACAATCAAGTTGAAATGACTTTTTGGTCAATATTCAGTCAAACTTTTGACAATAACTTACATCGTGCAGAAGACATTCAAGCAGTACCCAAATATCAGTATGAAAAATAATTCAGCCACTGTTAAGAGTATGCAGGTGTGAAGTACAATTTTCTTCTTTATAAACCAACTTTAAACTCACGTTAAATTGAAAGGGCAAATCAGGGCTACTTTTATAAAAGGCCCGGGGGCTCAAGAGGTTTTACGTTTGTTGGGGGCCCAAGGAAGAGAACAATTCTCCCTCAAAGTATAGGAGAGGAGCACAATTATCTCTCGGCCCTATAACGGATATCATGCAAACTGGGGAATATTATTGTAATTTTTGTTAACTAAATAATGTAAGTCTACATCCCTATCAACTAATAGCACTAAAAATCAAAACAGAAGACAAAACTACCATATTTCATATTTACCTTTGCTAAATATATTGGCTGTAAAATATGTGGATTATGTCTACTTCAGTTTTAAAAGATTAATAAAGGTAATTCCTTTTAACTTACATCATTGTTTACTGTAATTAATACTCGTTAATTTTACAACGAGCAGAGTATTCTAAATAATTGGTTCTTACAGGTGGCATTTTCCTGTTCTACCTCATCTTCTATGGAGCTTTGGCTGTGTTCTTCGCCATCTGCATGAAATGCCTCATGATGACTATAGATGATGAATACCCCAAGTGGCAGCTGGATAGCTCAATTATAGGGACCAATCCAGGTGAGCAAACAAATTTAAAAAATGTTTAATACCATTGGCATCCTTATATACTAGGATAGCTTTCATAGCAGTGGAGCAATCATGTTCCATGGTTTTTGATAAATGAAACAAATTATAAATATATAATACTAAATGCAAATTTTCCCGCACTCTGCACTGCTAGCCTTTACTACTTCTTCCACCACTTTCTACGTCGAGGACCTGTTTCCTTCCCTTCCCATAGCATTTTAGGATTACCGATACATTAATCTAAACTGCCACAAAGGGTTCCCACACTCAGCACCTTTAGCCTTTACTACTTCCTTCACCACTTCCTACGTCGTGGACCTGTTTCCCTCCCTTCCCATAGCATTTTAGGATTGCCGATACATTAATCTAATTGCCACAAAGCAGGGTTCCCACACTCAGCACCTTTAGCCTTTACTACTTCCTTCACCACTTCCTACGTCGTGGACCTGTTTCGCTTCCTTCCCATAGCATCATAGTATTGCAGATACATATTAATGTAAGTAACTGCCACAAGCTGTTCCGACACTCCGCATTGCCAACCTTTACTACTTCCTTCACCACTTACTACATTGTGGACCTGTTTCCCTCCCTTCCCATAGCATTTTAGGATTGCCAATACATTATTTATTTATTTATTTATTTAACATCATCACATTACATCAATTCTCTTGACAGGTGATTTGTCATTAAGTCTAATAAAATTATACATTGAAAAATCTACATTATAAAAATCTACATTATAAAATACAAAACAAATAAAGCAATCAATACAAACTTATGGGAGAAGTAATACCTTTCAAATTGTAATCACATCTCCAAGATATTTTTCTAGTGAGTAAAATGCCCTCTCCAAAAGGAAACTTTTTAAAGATGATTTAAATTTAGAAACTGAGGCAATGTTTTTTATCTCAGCAGGTAGTTTATTGTAAACTTTTGGCCCTATATACTGAGGAGATAAATGAAATATTTTAAGCCTATGTTGAATTGGTTTTATAATATTTTTGAATCTTGTGTTATGTGTATGAGATGGTTGACAGTCCATGAATGTATCGAAATCACTTTTAACCATTAATGCCAATTTGTATATATAAGAGCTAAAAAAGGTCAAAATTTTAAACTGGATAAATAAATCTTTACAATTTGTTTTATTGGGAACTCTGGCCATTATTCTTACTGCTCTTTTTTGAAGGACAAATATTTTTTTGGCCTGACTTGATGAGCCCCATACAGTAATTCCATAATTAATAATCGATGAAAAATATGCATGATATACTGCTATTTGTGTTTTTAAATTAGTAGTATCCCTGATTATCGTAAGAACAAATGTTGCTGAACGTAGTCTTTTTGATAGGTTTTTAATGTGATTTTGCCAATTTAATTGTGAATCAATATCAATTCCCAGATAATTTATTGATTTTTGTGAGTGAATTGAATTAAAGTTTGTATTTAAACAGATTTCTTGGTTAATATTGGATGCAGAAAACTGAATTAGTTGGGTTTTTGCCACATTCATGGACAGACCATTTACTGCAAACCGGTCCCCGAGAAGTTGAAATTCCTGAGTTATTGAGGCTTGTATGATGTCATTGTTCTGTCCTGTACAAATTAGAGCTGTATCATCTGCATATTGAAAGGTAGACATCTTAGTAGCTTTACATACACTCCCATTAATCTAACTGCCACAAAGGGTTCCCACACTCAGGACCTTTTTAGCCTTTACTACTTCCTTCACCACTTCCTACGTCGTGGACCTGTTTTTAGTTGTGTGTTTTGAGGATGCGGTACTCTTGACAGCTTGATTTAAATTCCTAAAGTGAGTCAATATTAACAGTATAAAACCAGCGAACCTCTGATAGCTAAAACCATTCACATTTCAAGCTGTTTATGAAATTAAAGATTGCACATTACACATGCCAAACAAAATAGATATTGCAGCCAAGCCATTTTTATATTATCAAGCGAGGCCTAGCGAATGTTTTTACAACCTAGGACTTAATTGCCGACATGACCAGCTGTTATATTTACATATTTTTTGTTATTGTTTATTGTGTTATGGTTAACCTTTATTTGTGCCTTTTCATTCATTAGAAGATTTTTTTAAAGCTGTAGAAGTTTAGAAGATAAATTAGCAGAGGGAAGAACGTGTGTAGTGAATTACGATTGTATTATGATGTGTATATTTTCTTGAACAATACCAGGTATTAAGAAGTGCTCTTTTATTGGTTGTCTGTCTACTCACATTAACAGTCCAAGTTTAAGATTTTTCACATTTCCTATTAAAAAAAGAGTGTATGTGATGAGTGGGTAGCAAACAAAGCAAACAAAAAACTGAAAGAACTTCCTGAATCTGCTTTACATTCACGTTTAGTGTGTGAACTGCATTTTGAACCTGACTGCTAATATAAGAAGACAACTAAATAAGGATGCTGTGCCAACATGACTAGTTAAGGACTATGGATATACACCGGTTGTTACACAGCAGTCTGCTCTAACTACCGCCTCTACAGACGATCACCACTCTCTCGCTGATGCTGGTCCTTCATCATCTAGTGATACTTCTACAGTCAATGTTGTAGGTTTTGAATTTCCTCTAACATCCACAGAAACCAGTAATCCAACAGATACGCCAGTAAATGGGGAAACAACTATATTACCACTACATGACAATTTAACACCGACTTTGAAAGCTTTCAACTCACTTGAAAACCTGGAGGGAAAGGCTAAAAAAAATTGATTGACAAAAAGAAAAACCTTCATTGCTTTAAACAACGTTACCGAAGAGAAAAACTGAAGCCCGTGCCAAAAGAAGCTGTTTTCTTAGCTGCCAGTCAGTATATCAAAAGCGATGTTTTAAAAACTCTTTTGAGAATGGAAATGTTCCACAAAAAGCGAACTAGCTGGAGTGAAGAAGAGAAACAACTGTCAATAGAAATGCACTACCGGTCACCGGCCCTATACAACAGCTTACGAGATGACAAAAAAAATGTCCCTTCCAAATACCAGTAAATATCTAGGTGGTGTAATGTTTTAGATTTAAATACAGGAATATCCGAAGAATTTTTGAATTTGTAAAAACAAAAAGTCAGTACAATGTCAGAAAAGGAAAAAAAATACAGTTCTAGTATTTAATGAAATGTCAATAAAGAAGAGCTTTATGTTATAATGAGAAAATTGATTTAATAGAAGCATTGACTTTATATCCACACTTTATATCCACTTTGTGTAGATATAGTCAATGATAGAAGGCTTTGAAGACCTTGGGATACTGGGACGTTCTGATCAGATAGGCACGCATGTATTATTGTTCGCCATAAGAGGACTTTTTCAAACATGGAAAATGCCGTTTGCTTATTTCATATGTGCATCTGTGATTGACGGGGCCAATTTAAACGTACTCATCATGGACGTATTGAATGCACTTTTTAGCATAGGGCTAAATGTGCGTGTCCTAGTGTGTGGCCAAGGAAAAACAGCTCCCAAGCCATCAATTTGTTGAACGTGTCCCCAGAAATACCCTACGTTTCATATCAAGATAGGAAAGTATTTTGTGTATATGACGCACCACATATCGTGAAATGCATCAGGAATAATCTTATGAAACATGACATCAACTTTGATGGTGGAACTGTCTCTTGGAGGCACATTAAGGCTCTGTATGATATTGATTCAACAGACAACAAGGCTCGAGCTGTTTGCAAACTGCCTGAAAAACATATTAGTCCAAACGCCATCGACAAAATGAAAGTAAAGTATGCTACACAAGTCTTCAGCCAATCTGTAAAAGCAGCTATGATTACGGCTGTGAGTACCGGAGAACTCCCTAAAGAAGCACTAGGGACTGCTGACTTCATTGGAAATATGGACGAAATCTTTAACTGCCTTAACAGTAGAAGTATATTTGACGCCAATCCGTTAAGGTGCGCTGTTTCAAACCACACTCCTCAAGGAAAGCAAGTGATAGAAACACTTTCTATGGTTGAGAATTTGGAAAAAATTGTCCCACGAAAACAAACAAAGGAAGTAAGGCTTTTAAAAAGAAAAGAAAATACAATAGATGACTCCAATGCTCTGAGTTTGATCCGAGATAAATCTGAATATTGTAATTCGTTCCATCTTCCTGCTCTATGCAGTTAAATTTTAAAAAAGTTCTGAGTTTTTTTTTACATTATGTATGTAATGTTGTATTTCTAAAATAAATAAATAAATTGAATTGAATTGATTGATTGAGTTGATACACATGGCACCAAACCCAATGTAGTTTTGATAATTTGAATAAGGTACATTACTTACAGGTTAACATGTTTAAAGGGTTAATTGGCTTATTTCACATAAAGCCTTTTAGCGAATTTCCCATAGGGAATAAGCTATTACCGTAGTACTCATGGTAAGACCTGGACCCGGGACCGATTTACCTTTTTGTTTTGAGGTCCCTAGAGGCCAAAAACACCATCCGTTCAAATATATATATATATAAAAAATCAAAAACATATTTAACAAAGTACCTTTAAAACATGTTTTTTATTTTTATTATATTACTAGCCCTAAACATGCAAGAAAATAATATATATATACTAGCTGACCCGGCGAACTTCGTATCGCCTAAGTTATAGGTTTCCCTTAAGACAGACCGATGGAAAGAAAGTACCGTTACGTTTAATTTTCAAGATGATCTCGTTCGCATCGCTCAATCACGTCCTGGTTGAAGTTCGTTCGCTACGCTCACTCACCTTTGGGTTGGAGCTCGTTCGCTACGCTCACTCACCTTTAGGTTGGAGCTCGTTCGCTGCGCTCACTTGCCTTCAGGTTAGCTCGTTCGCTACGCTCACTCGCCTCCAGGTTGAAGTTCGTTCGCTACGCTCACTCACCTTTTGGTTGCAAATTAGCTGTTGTCATAAATGTAAAAGAAATAATAGTGCTGCACCCTGTTGGTAATCCTTGTAACTTTAATGCTATTGAACATCATAGAACAGAACCAACTTGTTTAATTGAAACAGCTGTTAAGATTCATTAATTCCATTTCTCATAAGGTTAACATGGGAAACTCCAGAGCCACTGGGGCGGAGCCCTTTTGAGAATTTCGAAACGGGAAATAGTTTACGTCCGATTCGCATACCTACAGAATTTAAACACCAAATTTCATAACGATCGGTGAAGTCGTTCCGGAGGAGTTTGCAGACAAACACTGTGACACGAGAATTTTATATATTAGATATATATATATATATATATATCTCTTAATAAATAATATATAAAATAACATGAGTACCCTTTTTTATATTCTTTTTTATTTAATAAAACAACATGTTTCGTCTCTAAGGACATTTTCAAGTGTGTTAACATAATTTCAAAGAAAAATATTATGTTATGAATAAATACAGGTGTTAATTTTGTTAGCATGTTATTGAATGTTTAGTTGTTGGTTTTTCTAACACTTATAATTTTGTTAAATATAGGATTAGTGGTTTGTGTGTGTACTATATTTAAAATGTTGTCTCTATCTTCTTTGTAGTGTTTATATATGTGGAAATTTTCTTTTATGTTCATTTTGGTTCCTTTGTTAATAATGTCTAGTATGGTAATGTTTTCGTTATAATTTTTATATGTGTGGTCTGTAGAAAGTATGTGTTCTGCAAATGTAGATTTTTGTGTAGTTCTGTTGTTTGATTTAATTGCTTGAATATGTTCCTCGTACCTACTTTGAAAATTTCGTCCTGTTTGGCCAATATAGAATTTTGAGCAGGAACTGCAGTTTAATTTGTATATGCCAGATTTGTCTTTTATGTCTGATATGTTGTTGTTTGACTGTGAAAATTTGTTAATTAAATCAAATGAATTGTTTCTTGTTCTGTATGATAACTTATAATTTTGGTTGTTAAATGTTTTCCTATATGCTTTGTTAAATATAGTTATATATATATATATATATATATGTATCCGTTAGCGCGATAACTCGAGCAAAAATGATCCGATTTTTATGAAATTTGGTATAAACGTGTATACCTACATTTATTCGAACAAGTTCGTGAACCAGCATGATCGGACTAAGGGAACGGGGTTTTATATGGGGTTTTATGGGGTAAAAATAGGCTTTTCCCGTTTTTGACCCTAAAAACACAAAATTTTACAATTTCTTTCCAAACCATTTTGTGGAGCTAAAAAAAACAAATAATTTAGTATGTTGAAGCGTTGTTGTGTGCCTAATGGTTAGGGAGAAAATTCAAAAAAAATTTAAATTTAAAATTAGCATGTTATTCTTATGGAGAATAAGTCAACTGTTGTAGTTTGCTTGTTTATGAACATATTTTGATCGAATTTGGAAAATACTCTCATTTCTTACTAAACTATTAACATTTAAAAAAAAGACTTACCCTCCCTGTTGCAGCAAACCTAAGTACTCGTTAAACTAATTCTATTTAAATAGGAAATAAAATGTGATATTTTTATGGAGGCAATTTATTGTAAATCCAATCAGGTTAATGGAAATTCGCTTAGTCTGCAGGTTTGCTGCGGCGGGGGTATTTTTGTAAAATGACATACATGTATTCACATAAAAAAGTATATTATTTAATGTTCATATACTTGCTTGTCAGGGATAGCATTTCAACTGTGGGGGTTCTCCTCTTCTTTTTTCTTCCAGTAGGTCGGAGTCAACCATGGTGTCACTATTTTATCTATATACCATTCTCTCGTAAACCCAAGATGGAAATCAACTTTTTCAATTAGGTGAAGTCTTCCTTTTTCATCCAACTCTTTCAACCCTATCCAGTCCTCTTTGTACAGTTGCGATTCTCTCATTTGTGTTATCTCCTTATCTTGCCCATTAGTGTAAAACCCAAGCCAAGAAGAGTCTGGTGGTACTACTCTTTCGTCAAGTATAAACTTGACAAGCACCAAGTTTTTAAGCCGCAGTAGATGCGTCTTGTACTTCTCCTTCTTTTTCTCCTTCTCATTGTTAATGTCTGCAATAAACGTGTTCTTCTTGGCGTAAGTCTTGTAGTGAATCGGGTCGTGCCAGTTTTGCGCAAATACAGTGTTGCTCCGAATGAAACCCCAGTATGATATGTGTTTTGCAAGGTATAACGCCTTATCATGAAACATGATTTGACACCGTAATATCCTTGGTGCTGTGATCCTAAGGTTATTAGGTTAAACATAGGAGGGTCAGGGCATCTTTGTGCTACTGCTCTCAAAAACTGCCCTCCTTGCGAGATCCCCAAGCCGTGGTAGCCATTTTCTAATTTCTTGTCTTTGAAGATCATCCTGCAAGCTAGCTTTACTTGTTTGTTGACATCCATAAACAGTGAATTAAATTTGTCCCCAAAAGCACTCAAACCGATCATCAAAGAATGGATGTGGGCATTTGGTATTTCAGCTCTTATATATTCAATAAATCCTTCCATGCTTCCTTCTGATCGAGCAGTATCATAAATTCCATGCCACAAAACAATAGGTGTAGGATTAGTCAAAGTCTCGTATTCTTCTTTGTCAGACTTAACCATAACAAGACACGTCAACATCACATACAAAACAAAACGAAACATCGCGAGATGCTTAGTGAAACGTTCCACTGTTAAAGTGAGCCAGTAACATTTTTGTGCAAGTGTTTCCAATTCGTATAATTATGCTCTGTTGATAATTAATCATCAGTCTAAACCATCCAAACATATAAAAATAAACAACCTTGGTAAATAAAACTTAATAGTAGTTGTAGAACGATTGTAAGACCTAAATTAGTCCTACATTACATATTACACTGAACAGTAACCATCTATTAAAATTATAACAACCAAGATTTTAGACTTTCATTAAAATTATCATTGCTGATACTTGCTTATGTAACAAATGGTTTGGCTTTGTTTTTTAACTCCATTTTACTTTTTAAATAAAATTTTAATTTATGAAGACTTATAAATAGCCGTCCTATAGTTTCTTTGATTTGTATCCTAAACTTAAAAATATCAGCTGACGGTCCAGTGACTAACGTGACATTTACTTCCGTCAAGTTAGACGTACTCCTTTTGATAACAATAATTCCCTATTCTAATGTTTCCTTGCTTTTGATTAAAAGTTATTTCTGGTGAATGTGATCATAAAGATATTGCACCTCAAAAATCAACATCCTCCACCCATATTGGTGATGAATCAGCTATTATCTAAGGGTTGTTTCCCCCCAGAGACCTGTATGTAAGGTGTTCTTTGGTTGCCTTATATTTTTATAAGCTAGGTATAGATGAAAATGTAAAATTTATCGATCCTTCATTTACAAACATAAAATGTGTAAAAGAAAGCATCATCAAGTGTCAATTTATATACCTACTTAATATAATTTATTTGTAAATATTATGTTTAAATTCCCTAAAATTAACAAATCAGTCTTTCCCTTGTCAGTTATAGATTATAAAATGTCCATAACTTTTATTTATATATCTTGCATAGTTAAGTGGCTATTGTGTGTTTCATATCTGTACTAAAACTTGTTCGCTACCGATCGCCACATATATGCGACACTACGGTCATTGCAAAAGACCAAGATAAACATTTTAGCGAATTTCCCATATAGGGAAAATTAGCTAATTAGGGAACACTCATGGTAAGACCTGGACCCGGGATCGATTTAATTTTTCATTTTGAGGTCCCTAGAGGCCAAAAACACCATCCGTTCAAATTCATTATATATATATGTGTCCGTTAGCGCGATAACTCGAGCAAAAATGATCCGATTTTGATGAAATTTGGTACAAACGTGTAAACCTACGTTTATTCGAACGAGTTCGGGATCCAGCATAATCAGACCATGGGAACGGGGGTATATGGGGGGTTTTAAGGGGTAAAAATGGGGTTTTCCCATTTTTGACCCTAAAAACAAAAAATTTTGCAATTTCTTTCTAAACCATTTTGTAGAGCTTAAAAAAGAAATAGCTTAGTATAATGAAGCGCTGTTGTATGCCTAACGGTCACAGAGAAAATTCAAAAATAGTGTAATTTAAAATTCCCATGGAGAAAATGAAAATTGTTGTAGTTTACTTGTTTATGGATATATTGATAAAAATTTGGCAAATTTATTTATTTCACCCTATACTATTGACTTATGGTCAAAAAACACTTTTTACCTTCCCCGTAGCAGCAAACCTAAGCACTCGTTAAATCTAATGTTATTTAAATAGGGAAAAAATATGTCTTATTTATGGAAATATTTTAGTAAAAATTTTATCAGATAAGTTGAAATTCGCTTAGTCTGCAGGTTTGCTGCGGCGGGGGTATTAATATTACACATAGATCGGGTGTCGCCTGATGACAGTACACGCAGACCACGGGCTAGTGATGAAGCAAAGTAAAAAACTATTTTGCCAACTTTATATGACGTCACTAATATACATATCAACAGACCAACTGAAGCACATATGCAACAGACATCCCTGTAGACCACTGTAGAGAATTCAGGGCCTTCAAATAGACCGTTACGAAGATATAAGCTGTAACATTGGTACACCGACGCACATATGCGACATCGGTCTATTTTAATGTGACCAGCCGTTGCATATATGTGACGGCAGTCTATGGGTAAAAACCGGCCGTCGCATATGTGTGTCGCTGGTCCATATGAATAAAAAAAATAGTACCGTACTATTGCGGTAGCGAACAAGTTAATGAAATATTTATATTATTAGTAAAAAAAATTCACTCATAATATTAGTAAAAGCCATATCCCTCATGTTACAAAATAAGGTTTATAGCTAGTTAATTATGAAGAATACTTTTATACAATTTAAAATCTCTTTTGTTGTAACTTACAATAAATTTAATCTCTCCGTTTTTTTTTTGTTTTTTTCACAGGCATGGGATACCGACCAATGTCACAAGAGGTTGAGAAAGGTTCGCTCATCTGGTACAATCACAGGAACGAGACAAATGTTGCCTCATGGGTTCAATCACTCAACCAGTTTTTAGATCGTAAGTTTGTCCATACAACTAATACATACTATAAGTTTCATAAAATAAAACATTTTGCCTCAAGTAAAACCAAAGGGATTTTGTTATTGAAATGTTTGATGTAATAACACGAGAAAGCAATGCAAAGTTGAGGTCCCTACTGACCGCGACCAAAGGGGGGAGGCTTGGGTTTGGCAAAAAATACAATAAATGGTTAGAATTAGAGTTTAAATTTCAGGTAAAATTTCCGATTTGACCAGTAAAAGGTATCCTTGCAAAAGATTAATCAAGGAGATAGTTGTTATTGCTAATTGACAAATTATCTACCAAAAAACACCTTGCCAGACTCAGTTGTACTGTTTACATTGTTATAAAGCCGTCTGTTGAAATTATAACCAAAACCATTCAATGCTTGTGGTGAATATGGTTGAAAAGTCCAAGAGAGCCAGGTAATTCATCATTCACCATCCAGATGGAATTGCTTACTCATCTCACTGCTGGAATGATTGAATACTATTTAGTTATATAAATTGGTTATAAAAACCTTATGATTTATTTAACTTTTTACAAATATAGCCTATTTAGAAGCCCATTATTTTTTTTCTGGAGGGAGGCTCCTGAATTATGAGCTTCCTCACAGATAGAATTGTATATTTTATTCATAGCATTGACATCTTAGTAACGCTTGCATTACGCTATATTATTTCTAGGCAGTTGACACCACATTAAAAGTTTATAACACATTAAACTTAATATTTTAACCATCTAAGGGGGCTTATTCAGAAGGGTCCTTATTACTTCAAAGTAAATATGATACCAACTATCCAGAACCCTTCCTACGTAATTAGGTTATCAGAATAATCTTAGAAGTCTCTCTGTTAGAAGACTTATAAAATATAAACAAACCATGTTACATTTTCCGCAGCATACAACAACAGTCAGCTGTTACCGGGAGGTGGTAAGAACCAGCAGATATGTGACTATGATCGACCACCAGCGCAAGGGAAGGTGTGCGCCGTCGAAGTGAACGGTCCGGCGTGGGGACCCTGCACCGACAAGCAGGGCTATAACTACAACAAGGCCAGCCCCTGTGTATTCCTTAAGCTAAACAGGGTGAGAATAAATGTTTTGAATAAATATTTTTAAGAAATTGAGCTTTAACAATAACAAGTTTAAGGTGTTTATTGCTGATTTCTGTCAAATATTCAGACTTAAACAAACTCCAGAGCTGGCGTTGAGTAGTGTGGGGCAAAATGCAACCAACCAGAGCGGGCCCCCTTACTACCAAAAAGAGGAAGTATCCCAACAATGCTAATAAACAATACTCTACTTACAGTACAGTAGTAAGTAATGAAACCCCATTTGGTTAAGCAGGTGGCAAACAGCTGTTAACGGACTAAATCCTTGCGTGGGAATTTCCTTAAAATAATGTAGTGTGGCTTAACAATATTACAGCAATGGATATACGGCCAGCATTTAATATTACGATCATTAAAACTGAGTTGGTGTACCACAGACAATATTCCATCAAAATCTGAGCAAAGTGTGACATATGATGTCGCTATTATAGAAGCAAAATATGTAGTGAACAATGGTATAGTTGTAAATTTGTTAGTGCTCACCCAATTGGAAAAACATGGGTTGACTAAAATGTATAGGATTTAATGTACAGGATTTAAGGAAAAATCAGAGTGGTTGGAACTGATTCCACTTGTTCTCTCCCCTCCGCACCACTGGAATATGAGCATACAATGATCATGAGACGATTTTAAAAGTCAATACTGTGTGACACAAAAAACCAACCATATCCTCCAACATTTTTAAACAAAATTATGTTATTTTCAGATATATGGATGGCAGCCTGACTTCTACAATGACCCCAAAGACCTACCAGATGATATGCCTGATGAACTCAAAGACTACATCAACAAAACCACCAAACAAGAAGTGAGTCTAGCATGTTTCTTAAATTTAAAAAAGTGCAACCCCCTCAACAAATTCCTGGATCAGCCTCTGCACCATTTGCACCCAAACATTTCACACTTGCGTAAGGCGGGCTCTGAAAAGATCAGATGTGTTATATAGTCTTATTGCCTTAGTGTTTATAGGGTCTAAAACTTCCGTGCCAGAGAGACGGATTCAATCCTTGGCATATACGATCAAATTTAATCGGTTTGGTTTTTCCTTCAAAGTAGTTAATGTTCACAATTTAAAAATGCCACTGGTATTGAAACTATAGTTCGGCCGCTTACAAAGCGACCTGCGTGCTAATGCTAACCAATGCTAGAGGAGGTCGTTTTCTAAGCGGCCGAACTATAACACAAAAAGAACCCCACTTACAAAGCTCACTGAGAGTGTGCAGACATGATAATCATAACTTAGCAGGGCTTAAAACTATTTAAAAACTTTGATCTCTACTATTAAGTTAAATAACTGATAGTCGATATTGTTACGTTTATGTGTGGTCAGCCTGTACAATGTCTAGATGTGTTTCAGCGTAACACTGTTTGGGTCAGCTGTCAGGGAGAAGCTCCGAATGATCGAGAGAATATTGGTCAGATCCAGATATATCCCCGGCCCGGCTTCGCTGGATACTTCTATCCGTACCTGAACGTCAAAGGATACCTAAGTCCCATTGTGGCTGTCCACTTCAAGAGGCCTAAATGTAAGTACTTACGGAGATAATAAACCTGATGAGGTGACGATAGTAAATAAAATGTTATGTGTATTAATTTTTTCTTTTAGGTAGAGTAGTTGTTATTTTATATAGGAAAGATAACAGTTAAAAAAGGGTAATTTAATTAATGATCCCTGTTATAGCCGAGTTGTAGATGTCGTCCAAATATGTCACTTGAAGGATTCAGTGAACTTTTTATATAAAATAATACCGTAAATTATTGAACATGAGTTTTAATTTATAGTTCATACAATAATTTTATAGAGTAATTACTAGGGATCGTATAAAACAATATTTTTTTTTGTTGGAATCATCAACAGAAGCATGTATTTAACTTTTTCCTTTTTAGTATTTATATTGGACAAATCTATTTTATTAGAGCATCCTGAAAAAAACACAAAATAAATTACTGAAACTGATGTAGGTACTGATTTTGAAATCTGAACTCTTAAGGGTGCACTCTATCTCAGCTCAAGCTTTAGTAGCTATGTTGCGACATTGAGAAGCGCTTGCATACGTTTAATTCCTCCCAAATTACTCAGTTAACTTTTAACATTTTTTCTTCTGAAGAAGGTTTCTTACTCCTTAGATTCAAATTTATGACTATCGTTTTAATTTTCTTTCTAAAAATTCAGTTGTATGTGTAAATTGCTTTAAAAAAACTGTATTTACCAGTCACTTCCCACCTAAAAGTTAACTGTTACCAAAAAGTTAAAATGATACACAGGCCTAAAAAAATAAGAAATAAATTAATTACCAAAAATGTATTTTCAATCAGTTAAGAAATAAGCCGACAATGACGGAGATCCTAAACCCTTGCATCATCGCGCGGCAGACAGGTAGAGCGCACCCCTAAGGTTAATTATATAGCCACTACAAAAGTTTGGTGTAATAGATAAAGTTTTGTTTTAAAAATAGTATGGAACAGGCTATTTGAGTGTTTGAGGTGCCAAATTGAGAGCTAAAGACTCTTTTTAAATCATTTCTCTCCATTCCTTCAATCCCAAGCCCAATCCATGGACAATTGGGCTTAAACCGCTAGGAAAAATGTGTTAACTATTTGTTTAGAATTTTCTCTTTAAAATATTTTAAAATTTTCTTTTAAGTGAGATGTGTTCTATTGCGTGCCCCTCAAATTGGAGTATTTTTGTTTTTTTTGTTAGTCATAAGTTATGACTAATGACCAAAGTATTTTGTTTGACAATGAGTGCAAAATCCTGTAGTTGTTCCACTATTTGTTCTGATGCTCCCAGTATGATAAAATGATATTCCACTAAAAACAATAATTTTCTGTTACAGCAAACATACTAATCAACGTCGAGTGTCGAGCATGGGCTAAAAATGTATATTACAAACGAAGTCTCCAAAATAGAGAGGGTTCTGTCCATTTCGAGCTGTTGATAGACTAATTCAAGTGAATCAGAAGTGAGCTAAATCAATCTCTAACCTGTTCAAAACATTATCTGTTTCTTGTTCACTCTTAGTCATAGATAGTTAATTTACTATCTGAACAATGAACATATGTTAGACAACAATGCAATGTAAACAGCTGATCTCACATCTAACTATTTTTTGTCAAATTTTAGTAACTTTTTCAAATTGATAGTGCTTATTTTTTATTGGCATTTTTAACTATTTTGGCCCACTAAAGTGATTTTGTTTCAGTTTTTGCATTAGTTCCATTTGCCATCTTAAATTTAGTTTTAGATAATTCACTAACTGTAGTCAACTATAAGTTGTCTACTGTAATAACAAGTCAATGTTCATATAAAATTCCTTTATATATACCAACCTTACTGGAAGGTGGATGAAAACGGACTAAGGGTAAAACCTTTTGTATTCCTGTCTCATTAACATTTACAAAATGGACTTCTGTAATTAATAATGGTAGGATATATGTAATCTTAAAGTATATTAAGACCTCTTTAATCAAATGAAAGTATATGATAACACTGTGTAAAGAATTTATATTTATTGTGTATAGTTGTAACTGGTTAACCACGTCCTTTTGTTTAACCAATTAACAAAACTAAGTTAAAATAAATTGTGTTATTATAATACAATAAAATTAGTTTGTCAAGTATTTCATCAAGCAAGCTTTACTTTACGTTTTCATGTTCTGCTTTTGTGCCAGCCAAATCCTCTGCTTAAGTGCCTTTACCACTCATCGTGGGAGAGTCTAAATGTACTAAGATTAATCTTCTACAATGCATTATTATGCTTTGCCAAGTAATCCATATAGTTTTATCAATTATAAAATTATAAATCAAGATGGGGTGCCACCTTACATTCTAATTTGCAACAACTACAATCACTCTATCTTCCTCCATCCTGCATTCATATTAAGGTTAAAATAGGCATCTAGATGGCGTCCTCATCTCAATTATTGATAATTTGAAATTCATACTATTGATATTAATTTACTTCATACAAATTTATCAGGTACTGTAATACGAATGTTTTACCTTACTTTAGCAACATTTAAGTTTCAAAATGATTCTTTAATATAAAATCTATAAACTGTGTTTGTAATGCTCTATTCATATTTATCCACTGCCAAATTTTAAATAAATCTATCCTCTTATTATAATGGCTTTAAATTATGTAAAATGTGAAATATTTAGGTGGTTCTTGATCTTTTCAAGATTGTTTCTACTTTATTCAGTAGTTGTGTAAAATTTTAACATTTCTCTGTGTGATTATTGTGGATATTGCATGTGGATATGCATTGTGGATAGTGTGCTGTATTGCAGTATAGCATTACTAAGAATGTATCCACAAAAGAGAAAAGAAGGGTCCTTCAAGTGAATGTATACTATATATTAAAGATTTGAAATACTGAAAGTATTTTAGCAGGAAGGTGCTAAGAAACAATATTATTTTCTTTTGTTCTTTTTCAGTTTTTAATCTATGTTAAGCCAGTTTGACTATGTCAATAATTTAGTTATCCTCCTAACACCAACATAAAATGTTTGTTTAATAATATCTTAAGATAAAATCCAACTATTCAATATTACTATTAAACTTGTTTTTTTTTTTTTTTTTTTATTACTAACATTAATTAAAATTGTTTCAACGATAATGGATCCAAGGATTGACTTGATATAGGAATACAAAGTTATATAAATATTGCTATATTTTGTTGAATTTATTGTTAAATAAAACAACTAAGGTACTCGGCATAGTTTCGTTGACATTATCAATGGATTGTGATAACTAATTTAATAACCGTTTCAATAAATGAAAGACAATTGTTTTGTTGTAAGTCAAATATTTATTTCTCAAAGAGAAATAATAACAAATTTAACTGTTACAAAAGTGTAATATCCCTCCAGTATTTATTTTGTACTACTCTGTGCAATTAAAAAAACTTAGATGTAATTGTTAAAGTGATGTAATCATCATGTAATTTTTAAACTTTTTTATTTGTTTTTCGCTAAAAATTGCTCACAATCTTAACAAAATATAACCAGATCCCAGATCCCATCAAAATATATTTGATGAGGATAGACATTTGAACAGTAATAACAAAACGTAGTTTATAAAAAATAAATATAAAACGTAACCGGAAAAATGTTACCATCAAATGATATCAAATGTTATGTTTAATCAATTTTATTGACTCGCACCACATAATCTTATGATCCTAAATTGTCGTGTTTGGTTGTTTGTTTCAATAGTTTTTATTTTTAAAGTAGCTTTACCAAGTCTCATAACAGCATTGTATTGGGTATTAACCAAGTTTTGAGTATTGCCTTGTTTAGTTAGGCTAGGGTGAATGTGTGCCTTCTATCGTCATGTTCATGTATTGTGTATCTGTGTTAGTTTAAAAGGCCTTGTACTTATACCATTATGCATTTTTGTTTTTATTTTTTATTAGATAGTTATTTTTATAGTGTAAACTTGTTGCTTTTTTATGTACTAGATTAGAAGATGGAAAAGGACATATTGAAGTGTTGTAAGCTTTAGTTACTGTTAGGATGTGTTGTTAAAATAGCTAGTTCCTTTAATAATGTTGTCTAAGAAAATTAAAGATTTTATTTGTTCTGTTGGGATGTTTTTATTCTAGTAACCTTGATGAACACTATTTTTTTCAACTTCTACTTCATTGAACTGATTGCTGTGACATTATAATTTGTTCAAAAATATTAACACCTATTAGCGTAAAGTACTGCAAAAGAATAATAACATTTTGCATTTTTGTCATTGGCAGATTTAAGAAATTTGAAAGAATGTGTATGTTAGATAGTTTAGTACCAGTAATCCATATTACTTTTATTATGATTATCAACAGCATGCCACAAGTCTTGAGTTAGCCAACAGTTAGCATAGGAGCTTAAAATGTATATAAAAATCCAAGTGAGATATCTAAATGAATTTTTAAATAATTTGTATGGTTTCATAACAAACTAAACTAGGTGCTAACAGTAGTGTGCCATATCTATGTATGCACTTATTAATAAAATAAAGGTTTTCCATATAACACCATTTTCTAGCCCTACTTAAGCGATTTTTACAATTAATTGAGGAGTAATATTTCAAGCTTTAAAGTTGTAAAAATTGTTTAAGTAGGGCTAAGATTGAGCTTGATCTAGCACCTTGTGAGCGGTAATTAAAAAAGTAATTCCTTTAGGCCTTCGTCCCCTCACTTTTAATTGATTTCTAGAGTCCATTTTTCAAAGATCTGGAAAAATCTTTGTCAGCATCTACCTAGATGCTGACAAACTTTCTTTATAACTTTCTTTAGTTTAAAAGTTACCAGAATTGTAAATTACCTCAGTTCCTTTAGTTGAATGTTTAACCCCAGTCAAATTGTAAAGAAGAGACTAAACAGTTTATGAAAGGTATTTTACATAGGATACTTTTTTGGCAACTATGAGACCTGATTGAGGTAGATAAATCACTCTGTCTGTATATTATATACTAGCAGCCAGCGTCACTTCATAATCTGTGATATATTTGAATTAATAAATTAATATACAATAATTGAATAATTTTCTATTGCAAATCCTATCAAAACACAAAATCTAACAGAAGTAATTTTCTTCTTAATATTTTATACAAAATAACATTACAATATGTTAATTGAATTCACTAAAACATCACCAACTGTAACGATAACCCCATTTTTGTATGGATGTAAACAAATTTTGAATTTTGTATAAAACTAGCTGTAACCCGCGGGCTTTGCCCCGTTTAACTTCTCAATTTTCAAGATGATCTCGTTCGCATGGCTCAATCACGTCCTTGTTGAAGTTCGTTCGCTACGCTCACTCACCTTTAGGTTGGAGCTCGTTCGCTGCGCTCACTTGCCTTCAGGTTAGCTCGTTCGCTAAGCTCACTTGCCTTCAGGTTAGCTCGTTCACTACGCTAACTCGCCTCCAGGTTGAAGTTCGTTCGCTATGCTCACTCACCTTTTGGTTGCAAATTAGCTGTTGTCATAAATGTAAAAGAAATAATATAGTGCTGCACCCTGTTGGTAATCCTTGTAACTTTAATGCTATTGAACATCATAGAACAGAACCAACTTGTTTAATTGAAACAGCTGTTAAGAGTCATTAATTCCATTTCTCATAAGGTTAACATGGGAAACTCCAGAGCCACTGGGGCAAAGCCGATTGGACGGATCACGAAATTGATGGTGTATAAACCTAATCCATGAAATTCTACACGTATGTACCAAGTTTCGTGGCAATCGGTTCAGCGGTGTCTTAGTTTATCACTGCCAAATATATATATCTTCTTCTATATAAATAAAATTAGAGTTTTGTCTGTACATTGCTCAGAATTATATATTTTTAGGTTATTTTTACGTCTTATACATTAAATAAGCAGAAACGAGTCTTATCTCAATTTCTGTCTGTCTGTCTGTCTGTCTGTCTGTCTGTCTATCTTTCCCTTTGTCTGTAACACTCAAGATGGCATTTTACGCTATCTTCTCCTGGAAAACGAGAGTACCTATCAAGATCCAAGTCATTTTAATGTATTCACTGGATTGGCGAGATTGTCTTTAGCCATTAAAATATGGCCTCACTACTTTGTAAATAATATTACGAACGTTCAAAAATGTAGTTTTGTGCGATTTATGTCAAGTTTTCGTCCAATTTTTATTGCATAATCATCTATGAAATAACGAACAGCTGTTCGAATCAAGATTATTTTTCCTAGCTGTCACTGATATGTTTACAAATGTTGTTTACAAATACCGCAACCTTTTTCAATCACGTTTTGAATGTAAATCCCAAGTGATTAAAAACGTTTTTCTTACATAACGGATTTAATTAATCGAAAGTGCAATAATATAGTGTAATAGTGTAACCGTGTAAATGAAATTAAATAACTAGGCATCATCCAGTTCAGGAATCAGAGATTCTTTGTGTATAAATTGTTCTTGAGTTTTGATAACCAGAAAGAAGACCTTGAATCAGTGTTGTATACGGCTGGGAAACTTTAAATTTAATAATGATCGTCGCCAATGGCTTAGAAATATGGTTTCCACTCATTGACACGGCGCTTCAATGGCGGTTGTGTAAAGTGTAAAGTAAAAAATCACAACTGCAGTGGGTCATTGTAACAGAGGTTTACGGATGATACTAAACTCGCTTTTCTAATGTGTTATTTTCTGTTCCTACCATAGACTATATATATATAGTCAATAGTACCTACTCACCGTGTGATGCAATCGCTGGACCATACAGCCAATAGGCCCATAGCCCATCTCTTGGGTACGTACGCCTACCCAATTATTCATAACAAACTGTTCGACGACGATCCTTGATACCGGTACTTTTCTCTAGAATACACGGCCTACCTACTTAAGAAATAAAATTACAAACGTCCAAAAACCCAAAGTTGTGTGATTTTTGTCACATTTCCTTCTAATGATGTTAGATAGCCTTTACCCAATCATTGTTTAGAGAATAGGTACGTAATCTATTAAATAACAAAAAGTTGTTTGTATGAGGTTGTTTTTTTTTTCAAACTGACACCGATAAGTTTACATTAAAAGTTGTTTACAAATAAACCAATAGGCCTAAATGGGAATTAACTTTGATTGCCGTTTTAAAACGTTTTACGAGAAAATCCAAAACCAAGAGATCAATAACCTCGGGACTTTATTAACTCATATAATTGGTCGGCTGTACTATATTTCTCAACTGTGAACGTTGGTTGTTGGTACCGGTTCTATTCCTTAGAACCGTTGGTACTGTTGGTAGTAGCAAGAATCATTTTTAAGTACCAACACATCACTGTACTTTACAAATTAGTTATCGTTGGTGTTGCACCTTATTTATTATTACAGGCGTATTCAATTTGATGGGAAACGGAAGCCTGGCGAGCTCTGGCCCTAATCCGGGGTCGAACCCTTTTACGCTTCATTAGGCTTCAGTTCGCACACCAACTAGCTTTCCCCCCAAGAATACCTCTCTCCCCAAAAAGTACCTGACCCGTGGGTAAGAGAAGAGGATGACTTTGGTGCCCCGGTGGGGGGAGGGGTGCAAAGGGCTTTGGGGAGGAAACACTTCCGTTACTGAGAGGGCAACTGATGGGATAGTGACCTTCCTAGAATTGAATTCTTATTGTTGAGATATTAAGTTAAACAAAATGTATTGCAGCCAATTCTTTGAATCACTAGAGTAATAGCATAAAGACGATTCAGGAAATGAGCTAGCTATTTCCGTCTTAAACCAAACTTAAGCATGAGTAATATATGGACGGCTCAGGAAATTGCCAAATAGTTTCTAATACATAGTTGTTTCTAGCCTTTATATTTTCTACTCCCTTAGTGCACTGTTTTATTTTACAATAAAAACCAAAAACTTAGCTGTGTTTTTTTGGGAATTTTATTATCACTTCATTATTATTGTATATTTGTTATTGTGAATATTGTTTTATATAATTTATCATCTATTTAGTCAATCAAATTCATAAGAACAATAAATAGTTTTATAACCACTATAGTGTACTATAGTGTACTATTTCTATAGTGTAGTTACTATAGAAATAGTCTTGTTGAGTTCACAATAAAAGTATCTTTAATAAT